TCCCATTGTCTGCATGAGAAATCCCAGGGAGGAATAACAAAATCATGAAAGTCCCTTCCTCACACCCCCACCATCACCCCACTCACTCACACTGCACACCTCATGTCACCGTCGCTGTGTGCAGCCTGTACAAAGGCTGTAGACCACCCCTTGAAAATAATGCTCTCAGACTCTGTGTTTTTGCCCAGTTCCAACCATCACCATTGGCCGCCCCCATTCCCACTTCTTCTAAACGGCTCTGTCATTAATCGGCTGCACCAAAGATCCTGCTACTTGTGTGATCTGGGGATGACGTTGATGTCGGGATTTTCAACCAATCGGCACAATTCAAGTCATTATCTGGTGGTGATAAGGACTGATCATGCTGTTAATGGTCCATGGACTAAAACAAACAAGCTGTAATCTTCTAAGACAAAATATCTTTGGATCTACTTGAATGTACAAGAAGTTCAGGCTGCTCAATGTACTTGAACAGAGTTACTAGTGGTCAGATGTCATCTTCATGAAAGTAATGATGGTTGGGTTCTGGACATCTAATGTGGCCTGAGATTGCTGTTACTTGAGTGACAGTGAATGCCATTAGCTTCACTACTATTATAAATTGTTTTTGTCAATCTCCCATTATGTTGCATGCAGAAAGTTAACAGGAATCACAAGGAGATTTAGGTTAAGGATAACTATATTGAAAACACTGGCTATTGACTGGGAGAGTTCATTAGATCTTATTGACTTTCAGCTGGACTGGAAAGAAGGCCATTTTTCAAAAGTTTTTCAGAAGGTGGATGTTAATTTTAAGGCTAGCATTTGTTGCCCGCCCCTAGTTTCTGTTGAGCAGGTAGTGGTGAGCTACCTTGCAGGTACACCCATAGGAAGGGGGTTCTTGGAGCTTGACCTACCAGCAGTGAGATAACAGCAATGTAGTTCGAAAGGTGCCTATTAAGGCATTGAGGTATTTTGGACAGGTAACAACTGGAACCCAGACACTTACAGACCTATTCATTTGAAAACAAACTCAGCAAAACAAAGAGATAACAAGGTGTAGAGCTGGATGAACACATCAGGCCAAGCATCATCAGAGGAGCAGGAAAGCTGATGTTTCGGGCCTAAAAGGGTCTAGGCCCGAAACGTCAGCTTTCCTGCTTCTCATATGCTGCTTGGCCTGCTGTGTTCATCCAGCTCTACACCTTGTTATCTCAGATTCTCCAGCATCTGCAGTTCCTACTATCTCCTCAGCAAAACAGAGAAGCCTATGATCAGGGGTTGGCTAGATGAGTACTTGCACAGTATTAACATAGAAAACAGTTAGCACAAACTGGAAGACCGAGCTTAACAAAGCATGTTCAATTTTAAAGAATGTCACAGATTTAGTCAATTGTGGAACTCCATATGATATTGTTTTTCTGGACTTTTGCAATGCTTTCAATAAATTTCCACATGAAGAACTTCCAATTAAACTGTCACAGCAATCTTGGGTAGAAGATAGAAAACAGATTAGGATGCTGGCTAAATAAAAATAACAACAAGACCTCACAAGAGTTTCAGAGTCACACATGGGAGAATTTGAGTGACATTCTGCAGAGGCTAATATTTGTACTCCTGTTATTTGCAATCTGCAATAATGATCATGAAAGCAGATCAACATGCAAGATGTACATGTACATTTGTCCAATTGACAATACTAAATAGAGGAAGCAATCAAGACAGAGCATGTAGCTAAGAATGACAGAAAGGTTTCATGGGCTCTGCAATTCAGCAGGCACAAGGAAGAATAAAATCCGCATTGATAAATGTAAATTATTCCACTTGCCATTATCAATCTCCACAGAAATACTGAGAATTTGGTATTATTTTAGATCCATTATTTTCAAATAAACGTTAAAAAAAATCCGAGAGAAAATCTGATTGGAAGAGTTGCGAAAATACCTGTTACAAATACTGGATGACGGTAAGCTTGACAACCAATGAAATTCTTTTGCGGTCTGTTTGATTGCCCTGATAGAGGGGGAATGGCAACCAATTTGCTGACAGCAAGCTCTCACAAACAGTAATGTAATAGTGACCAGTTAATTCACTTCAGTGATACTGTTTTACGAAAGCAATTGTCCAGAAGTCCATAGAGGAACAGAAACCAATTCCAAACATTATGAACAGGAATGAGGATGAAATATTTTTACAGCAGTAACAAAAAAATATTGTTTGAGTGGATCTTGAAGAGTTTTCAAAACATAAATGATCTCATTTGGATAGCTCCTGTTAATTCCTTCTAACCAAGTCAGGAGTCGATTCGTTTCCCTTCAACATCAAAGTGTATGTTCCCTCTGTGTTGCTAATGTGGTTATTCTGGCTGCAAGCAAAATAATGCATTCTCATAGAAGCTTTGGAAGCTGTGCTCATTTTCAGGTACACCTTATTCTGAGGTCAGAGATTTGTCTGAAAACAGCTTTTTTTTTCTCCCAGTATTTTTGCATTTCAATGGAAATTAAGTGTCAATTCAAAATGTATCTATACCTGGAGAGCAGAGAACTGCAGAACTGCAGTCATCTAGAACTGATGATTTGGTTTAACCATGCAGAGTCCAGATGGTGGAATTAAATACATGTGACATCTGGATTAAATTGGACCCAGGCATTGAAAATCTGATAGGTATGTATCTCTTTAACACATTTGGTGAAGTTTGTCAGCCTCTTAGCTATTAATCTACAGAACAATCCGTCATTTGCTAATCTGTAAACTCAGACAACAAAGACTTACACATTCAAGGCACTCCCTTATCTGTTTGCACTTTTTCCTACAGACCGCAGCACAGAAGTAATCTTGACTTTGTCATTAATACTTCGAAGGCTTGGCTGAATGGATCAAGAAAGCTTTTATCTCCTGCTCTTCCTCACACTCTCTCTCTCTCACACACACACACAGAGCAAGCTGGTGCTTAAGATGCTGTCTTAGCAGCACCGTAAAAAAATGAATACAAAGTGATGAAACAATACTAAGACGCAATTGCAGACAAAAGTGTACCCTTTAGGCTGCGTGGGGTGGGTAAGGTTTGTCCTGCTTAATAAAGGCATCGCCGTAGTGATGGGAAGCAGCAGAAAGCCTATCCTCATGATGGATAAAAGTGCCACTGGGCATTATGGTAACCCAAGATTAATGGCTACCTATTTTATGTTATGCTTCACCCTTTTTACACCACGGTCATTGCAATTTAGATCAAGTTCTCTGTGAATGTACTGTGAGGCAGGCAGAGATAGCATTACATGAAAGGAATATAGATCACTACGTGGCAGTTGAATTCGATGCAAACGCTCGTGATGAATTTCAAACTTTTTTTTAACTGGAAACCATTCCTTGCTTACACCTTCAGACACAGGAACAGTCCGAATACAGGTTAAAACGAAATAAATATTGTGAAATGGGCACCAGCAGCTTTCTTTTTCACATTCCATGTGGCTGTTTTATTGGATGTTTTGTTATTTTAGCCAAGGCATAATTTGTTGAACAGTATTAACACATTTTTGACTCACTTTGGAATTGCCCCTGCTCAGATTGTTCCAGTTTTAACCCCATCTGTTTGCCTTTATCCTGAAAGTACACACTGCATTGTTTTTTTCCCACAATCGTCTGGCCAAATCTGAACCCAGAAGTTGAACAGTTGGCATTCTTCAGTAGTTCATTTCATCTTTCATGGTAAGTGGGTGTTGTCATCAAGACTGGCAATGGTTGCCCATTTCTAATTGCCCTAGAACTGACTGCCTCTCTAGGCCATTTCAGAGGTTAGTTAAGACTCAAACCACATTGCTGTGCATTTGGTGTCACATCTAGGCCATACCAGGTAAAGATGCCAGATGTCCTTCTCTAAAGAAAATTAATGAAGTCGATGGACTTTTACAACAAACAATGATATGAGACGGGGTTTCAGCTCCAGATTTTATTATTGGAATTCAATGCCTTTGAAGGATTTCAACATAACATTAAAGCAGGTCTCTGGATTATAATCCTATCCCACCCCCACAAAAACCAGTGATTCATGGTCATCTGTGTAAGGCATTGGTAGTGATTCAATTTTTCCGCACTTAAATTTACTTTTTCTGCTGGGCGGTGCAAAGTTGCCGAGATACTGAGCCCAAACGTAGCAACATTAACTTCACTGAGATCAATTAGCCGAACACAGATTGGTACCAAAGCCTTTAATCTTATACAGTCATAGAATGAGACAATACAAAATGAGGCTTTTCGACCTGGTCCAGTCTGTTACTGCTCCTTGAAAAAGCTACATGTTTGCTCTTTCCCTATAGTTCTGCAACTTTCTCCCCTTCTGCTCTTTACCTAGTTTGCTTTTGTGATTTATTGTTGAATCTGCTTCCACCTTCTCAGGCAATGTGTTCCAGATCGCAACAATGAAAACAAGGTTCCCTCATAACACATCTCATTCTTTTGCCAAGTTCCTTAGATCTGTGCCCTCTAATTATTGTGAAAACAGATTGTCCTTGTTTTCCAAATCAAAATTCTTCCAGATTTTGAAAGCTGCTTTAAATCTTCACTCAATCGCCTTGGGTTGAATATGAGAAAATGCCATTTTCTCTCATTTTTCTTCTGAAGTCAATCGCATTTGATACCATTCAAATTGGTCTCCCCTGTGTCCCCCCCAAGGCCTTGTTATCCTTTCTCAAGTGTAGTGCTCAGAAATGGACTCAATATTCTGGTTGGGGGTCTAACCAGTAACATTCAAATGTTAACTTAACCAGGCTTCATTTGAAATCTATCCTTCAATTACGAAGCCAAGGATCACATATGTTTTATTAATTACTTTCTCAAACTTTCTCGCCATCTTCGAAGATTTCTGTAACTTCCTGTAACTTTCTTGACTTTCAGTTTCTGTATTCTATTTGTACCACTTCGTTTATTTTGCTTCCTCTCATTCATCTGACCAAAATGCATCCCTCCACACCTACATGTGCTAAATGGCATCCGCTGTGTTTTTTTACTATTTGTAATTATAATTCTAAGTGAGAACGCAAACGCAGATCCCTGCTCCCACAAATTTTCCTATCGCGTATCCCGCATTTTGGGACATTGCAGGCATCAGCACATACGAAGTGCAATGGGATAGCCTCATTCTGGGAGAACCACCTTCATGATCATGGTCTCTCCCATCTGCTGTATTGTCTGTCCATGTTAACTCCATTTCCAAGTTTCTGTCATCTTCCACCTTTGAAGTAGTGCTCTGTATAGCCAAGTCTGGGTCATTAATGTAGAGACGTAGAAACATTGAATATAGAAGCCTGCGTGGGCCATTCAGCCCTTTGAGCGTGCTGTACCATTCATTTTGATCATGGCTAATCATCCAACTTAATAGTCTGTTCCCACTTTCCCCCCATGTCCTTTGATCCCTTTAACTTCAAGAGTAATATTCAACTTCTGCTTGAAAGCATTCAATGTTTTGGCCTTAACTGCTTTTTGTGGTAGTGAATTCCACAGGCTCACCATTCTCTGGGTGAAAAAATTTCTTCTCATTTCAGTCCTAAATGGGTTACCCCATAACCTTAAACTTTGACACCTGGTTCTGGACTCTATTTCTACCAGGACATTTTCCTGCATCTATCCTGTCCAAGCACAGAGTAATATAGCATGGAAACAGACCCTTTGGTCCAACCTGTTTCAATGTTAGGTTTCTATGAGAATCCCCCCTCAGTCTCTGAAACTATAGTAAATACAATCCTAAGGAATTCAACCTTCCCTCTTATTCAGTCCTGCCATCCCAGGAATCAGCGTGGTAAACCTTCATTGCACTCCCTCGATAGCAAGAATGTCCTTCCTCAGAAAAGGAGACCAAAATGGCCAGATGTGTTCTCACCTAGGCCTTGTACAATTTCAGCAAGACATCCCTGATCCTGTCATTGAATCCTCTCCAACATGTATATTGAAAAAAAGCAATTGCCTGAGAGACAATCCCTGGGGAATGCCTTGTATATCTTCATCCAATCTTCAACATGACTACTCCCCACTACTCAGAAAGCAAGGTGTAGAGCTGGATGAACACAGCAGGTCAAGCAGCATCAGAGGAGCAGGAAAGCTGACATT